AACCACAAATAGTCAGCCGTCCCAAGCAGCTGACGCGCGTTGTCGCAGTGGATGTCCACCTTACACAAATAAACATAATCCAGAACCTGCGTCATCACGTCCGAGCTAATTCCGTGAAGTAGAATGTCAGTTTTCTCACTGGTGTTCAGTGTTGAGGTGAAGAGGTTCCTGAAACGTCACGAAGCAGTCGTCGATTTGGAGAAACGGCGAGCAGAAATTTACAAGCCATGCACATAATGTTTAAGTTTTTATAACTTACTTAGCCAAAGAAAAGTTTGTTTTTGTCAACATGGTGGATGAATTTTTATGTTAAAGAGCATGAGCAATCTTAACAGAAAATAATTTACAAGTCGGATGCTCACATACCATTTGTGTCAGTACCTGAAAATTACTCGTCAAGAATAAAGCAGCAAACAGTGAATATTTGTTCCACAGAGTGGTTATCTGGTTCCTTAGAAACCATTCAATCGTTCAAGAGATATCTGGGGTTATAACAACTGAAACTGTAATTTTAAAGCCAACCAGCAAATTGAAACAAATATCTCAACATATATCACAGGCTGTACATTCCACTGATTACCCAGCTCGTAATTTGAAATCAGAGCCTCCAAAATCCATTTGTTCTGACAAAAAATCAGTTCCCGAAAAACAACTTAAAAAATAAGCCGACGTTTCTACGTCTTATCGAAATAGTGGAAGAGTGGCACAGCTTGTGACAAGACTGTTGGAAAACTTAAACAAAGGTTCATGGTTTTAATTCATTTCTCATTTATCAAGAACACATCGCATCTCTCTTTAAAACACAAGCATAAATAACGTATGCACAAATTTGTCGTGGGGATGTTGTCTGACCCTACTGAACATGTCTGCCTGCTGTGCTTTACCACGAAGAATAGTGTGTCAATATATTACCATGATGCGCACATCCCGTTTCAAAATCTGAATACAAAGAATATAAATAAATTCCAATTCTAGCGCAATTTGATAAGGAGAAATAAGAAATTCCTCCACAAAACGGAGGCCAAGAATTTGATTGAAGGAAGTAAAGCGCAGGTGGAAGGGGTGAAGACAGACGCCCAAAGACAAGATGCAGCCGCATCTGACAGCGGGAAGGCTAAAAGGATCCTAATCCGTCAAAAGAAGAAGACGTTACGATCACCAAATTTTGTAACGAGCCTACGAACGATTCTCTCTTAACAACTGAAAGATTTCTCACCAAGTTCTTTGTCAAACAGAATAACACAGAGCAGATATCAATGTTCTGGACAATGGCGTGACAAAGGTGTATTACCAACTTCCTCTTGGACTTTGGCGGTCGTCTTTGTACATTAATACCAAGGTCATTTGGAAATGGATTAAATTTCTCTCTCCAGATCGATTGACTCTCACCTTGCTGCATCTGCACTTAAAAATTAGTGCAAAAACAATGGGCTTCTGGGATGTTGCATTGTGTACTCTCGTAGAAATTATCGGACGTTTCAGAGGTGCCTACTGCCTCTGTTATCAAGGAAAGAAGGCAGCAAGTACGTCTGAAACACCACCTGGTTTCAACGCCGCAACGTCCAGAAAAAATTAATCTTCTTAATCACCGCCATGAGATTTCATGGCCATAAACAAATTACCAAAGATAAAAATACAGTTTTCTTCATCAAAGAGAATTTAATATTTTACATACTAATTGACGTCTGTTATGTCCTTATTTCACGCGTTAACAACTACATCAGTAAATAAACAAACCTGAAATATCTGCTACGCATCGAGAGAATCACTCTGTGGACAGGAAAAACGCCGCCATCTTCCAACCTCAACACCGCGTCACATAGAAGATTCTCCTCTCTCAACTCATTCAGAGGGACCAATTTTTCGGTGAATACGCACCTGCCGTCATGATGAGAACAGCTGCAATGTTCGCTTAACTCCATCTCCTGAAAAACAGTCCAGCTTTTTCTTCATACTGACACGTGTGCACATCAACTGAGAGTGAATGTGAGGGAACACGTTACTGAGAAGAAAATTTGGTCCTTCGACAGTGTAACTAACAAGATAATGGTAAAAATTCATAATATGGAACTTTACAGTTCTATTCCCTAAATAATTAATTGAAGGCTGATGAGATTAAAGGTGTTGGGATTGGCGGGGCACATAGTTAACGTGGCAGAGAAAAGAAAAGCGATATTTTAATCGGAAAACCTGAAAGGAAGAGGCCACTTGATAGTCCAATGTTTTGGTGGGATAATATTAAAATGAAACTTAGAGAATTGGGGAATGACGGTGTGGCTTGAGGATATTTTTAGAGGCGTCATCTTGTAAGCACGGGAATGCAACTTCATTTTTCATAAAAGGCGAGAGTTTTGATCAACTGGGCTACTATTAGATTCTCAAGCAGGACTTAGGCTCCATAGAGTCAGTTTGTTTCTTAGTTATAGAAATGCCCGTTGACTTTCAATGCAATATTAAGTCATGCCGCGTGTTTGTTATTACTCACATAAGGTTAAATCTTCTTACAAGTAAATTACATAGACAATAAGTTTAAAATAGCAATGTAACCTTTAAAACTTTAGATGCTCCAATTCCGATGAACCCATTTAAAAAATTACGACAAAAATATGCCATAGAAATTATGTGACATTTGATGCAGAACCAGACATTTAAGAAATAAATTTTGGAAAAAGAATGCTACGGCTTTTTATAAGCATGAAATTTTCAAGTTCTTCTCTCTCTGTGGAACTAAACGTGCTTAAGAGCTTATATGATTAATGATTTCCTTCTTATGTTACACATTAATATACACTACAAACACAATACGTAATTTAGATTTATCAAATGAACTTGAGAATTTCAGTTGGGAACACTCGTAAAAGCTGCAAGTTATTCTATTGCATACATAGATTAGGCCTACATAACTCTACCCACACGCTGTAAAGTGCAGGTTATTCTTTGAAAATTCGATTTTACACAGGGCTTTTCAAAAAATAGCCCACTATCTTTACTAAATCAAAAGGCTCATCACCGTGTTCACAAAAGTCCGCCAACGTACTCTATCCTAAGCCAGCTGCATCCAGTTCGATCCATCGATTCCTCTTT